AGCTTTGACTGACGGGGTCGTGTTGTGCCATCTGGCCAACCACGTGCGTCCCCGATCCATACCGAGCATCCATGTACCCTCACCAGCAGTGGTGGGTGACCTTTTTGGGTTTATTTTAGTCATTACTACATTTCTTAAGTTTTTGTGTATGTGTGAGTCTGTGCATAGGAGTACATTGGCTTCATGTTTTCTCTCTTTCCAGCCCAAACTGACGATGGCCAAGTGTCGACGAAATGTGGAGAACTTCCTAGAGGCGTGCCGCAGAATTGGAGTTCCTCAGGTATATTTGGTCTCCTGCACTTCAGTCCATTTCCTCAGTCTTTATCTTTAAAACTAAATTAGAAATAACTTCTCTGTTGCATGCTTGCTTCAAACATAACATCTCTTGCTGTTTCCTCTAGTGGCTCTAATACTACTAACTCTTTCTCTCTCTCCCTCTATTCCCTTCCGATTTAAACCATCTCACATCCCATCAACCCCTCCTTGTGTTTTATTTGAACACTCATGTTCCTCTTGCTCCTTGTCTCGGCCCTGCTGGCAGGATAGCTTGTGTTCAGCGGGTGACGTGCTGAAAGGGGAGGTGGTCTGTGTGTTCAGGCTGGTCCAGGCCTTGCTCTCCCTGGCACCGCCTCCCCTTCACTCCGCCCCTTCTACCCAGCTGGCTGGATTTGCCCTTTTCTACCTGTCAATCATGTCGCTGCTATGTGCTCTCTACTGCCACCTGGTGCCAACCCATTAAATGGCTTTTCCATATTGATCACTGCACTAAAATAGCCAATTGTTTGTGTGTTTGAGCAGAATTACACAATAGGTGGTGTTTATGCGCACAGATATTACATTTATAGTGTTTTCTAGTGATACTTTGCTAAGCTCCGCCCCCTTTGTGTAATGTTGCCTGCTTTTGACAAGCTTTATATAATTGCTTTCATGCAAATTTCAGTAAAGTGTGCTGATAAAATGGGACAAATTGATTGAATGGTATTATTGCATAGACTGGAAAGAATTGTGATGAAAGAATGTGCCATTTCTTTAAAGGAAATTAAATTGCACTACTGTTCAGTTTGAGGTAAAATATTTATTTTTTAATATTTTTGAAGGAAGACTTTTCTGCTCACCAAGGCTGCATTTATTTGATAAAAAATACAGTAATATT